GCATTTCAGGCAGTTGCTTAAAATAATTTAAAATTCCTTTGACTTGGCTGCTACCTTCCTGCCTTTGACTCGGGTTGCTGCCTCCCAGAACACAGCCTCATTACAGARCTCATTTATCCTCATCTACAGTTTCTTAGCTGTACCCTTCCCTCTGTAAATCACAGGCCATTCCTGTCTCTGCTGAATGTGTGCTGCATGCAGCCTCACAGCCCAGCGCTACCTCATCTCTTCTGTTGAGCTCCACAGGCTAGTTAAATTCCTCACAGTAGGAACTGTGATTTTTACACAGTAAGTATGCTATAAATCTGTTTCAAGCAGTTGATCCTAACATGCCAACTCCACCAAGGTGAGGCTGTACCTTCAGGTGTGTTGTGAAGGTGGTGTATATGTGTATCMCTTTCAGAAATGTTGTTTTCAGTGCACACATTATGTGCAGAAGCTGATGAGCGGTGCAGAGCTGTAGGTGTGTTGCTTGTTGATGCACTCAAACTCCCTTAGCTGTGCCAGAATTGGGCAGTTATGCTACCAGGTTCATTTTTGCTAGGTGGCAAAAAACATGTCCCTGTGCATTGGGTTAGCAGTTCATTCTGGATGTGWMARAGAACTACATAGATTGAATTGCCATTTTCTCTTGCTGTAAATGTATTTTGGCTGCTCTAGCACAGCCTGCAGGCCTTTCCTGGGCAGATCTAATGGCCTTATTCTGAAATTCTGATAAGCATAACCTATGCTGTATTGTGTGGGCCTTGTAGGAGCCAGGCTATACAAACACTGTAATGATTTCCCTTGAGCTCTAAAGCCTTTGCTCTTAAATTGCTCTGAGGTGTGGGTCAGACTCCTCAGGTGCCAATAAAAACCCTCTGCATTCTCTAAGACACACCAATGGGAATACTGTGCAGTAGCTCAAATGGATACATGTCCCAGGTGGATGCCACCTCATCTTTTGCAAGGCTGCTAAGTGGAAGAGGCAGTGGGTGGTTCAGCAGATGCTCAGTTCTGAATGCTCCAAGCCTCAGTTTGAAGACAAGAATTGAAGTAATTAGCTTGTATGGTTTGAGGAATGTTACGTTGCCTCTGCTCATCTTATTTTCATGGATTGGAGCACTACATGGTRCCTCTGGGAGGGCTCACTTTAAAAAGATGCCCTCAGTGCCTTGAGTTATACTTCTGTGCATGGCTTGAATTGCCCCAATTGCATCATCCAGCACAGCACAGAACCTATTACATTTGAGAGCTTTCTCTTAGGATCTACAACTGATCAGCCTTTCTCTTTATTATGAAAGGGGCTCAGCCCGTTAGACTGTCTCAGATAATGTCTAGCATATGACCATAGACCCAAAGCCCTCTCAAAATGCAGCACATTGACAACATTTTCTAGAAGGCAAGAGACTCAGCATCTTCCATTGCTGAATGGCATTTCAGCCCATGCTTCCCAGCTGCTAGGCTGCTCCCCTGCCTGCTACAAAGCTTTGCAGGGAAGTGTTGAAGACTTGCCCAGCAGGGACATATAGCTCCTGGGACACTTAGGGGAGGCGAGAGAGTGCAGGGCAGTTTGTACATTTTAACCAGTGACTGTTTAGTGCAAAATGATACAGCTTAAGATGCTTGGAGGATGTCTTTGCATCCCAAATTAATTGTTTCTCAATGAGTTGAAATCCTGATGTGGATTTGACAGTTGCCTAGAAAAAGTACCCAACCAGTCAGGGCCCATTTCTCCTGTCCATTTGGCTTCAGCCATGGATGTCTGAATGGCATTTTCTAATTGACTCTGCAGGTGCCAGCTGGGTCATTCACAGTTCTTACGCAAAGTCCCCAGAAGAAGCTGCAGCTCTGGGAGACTTGGCTTTCTGTCAGCAGGTGCCGCTCAGTGGAAGCTGCAAGTACATGCAGCCTTCGCCCAAGTGCCTGAAGYGAGAAGCGGTCTCAGGCAACCAGAAGTTGTGCTTGCTGCAATTTGTGACCTGACACAGTTTATTATTTATTTACATCTCCTGTCAGAGTTAGTACATGACCTAGCACAGAGAAGTTCATCCCCTTCAAAAGAGAGAACTCCACTTGTTTGGCAAGGAAGAAAAAACCTCATGTGAAATCTTAAACTCTAGAAACATCTGAAAAAGGAAACAATGGGTGGTAACAACATTCTGTGAGTTTATCGTTCCAGTGAGTGGTTTTTAGTGGAGAATTTCTCKGAAAAGCAGCAGTAGGTAGATTTTTCTGTGACTTCATATGCAGTTGGAAAACACCCACTTCATCTTGCTTGTGCTGTTTTATTAAAACTCAATTGGCTTAACCCCATGGCAGCCAGGTTTATTTGATGTTTCTCCATTAGCTAGGCACTGCTGGATGCTCCAGTACAATATGCTTTATGGCAAGGAGTRAAAAATACAGAAGCAGACTGTAGTGTTGGTAGCATTCCCTGCCATTGCCCTTTTGCTACTATTGAACATTGGGTTCTGCTGTGGAATAGTAATGAGGCTACACCGAYAAGAGGTGACATGACAAGCAAGACTGAGGTAAGGGAAACCACTTTGACTTCATCATTATCCTCCACAAACTGCCCTTTGTTGCTTGATGGCCTGATGCCCACACATGTTCATTCTTTTYCTGGCTCTTCCTTGCCTTATTGATTCATTCCCATAAAAAAAAGGCAGACGTTTCAGCATTGCTTCCACATTGGGAAGTGCTATTTCAGTTGCTAGGGAATCTGCTTAAACCCAACTCTTAAAAACAGTATTTCYATTTCAGGCCATCTTACCTTATGCTGTTCTGTTGTTTCAGCTAATTTTCCAAAGAATTATACTCTATTTTAGTTGTTCTATTAATATCTGTGAGGAAGTCTTTATTAAAACTTTAAACAGCTTGAGAACTTAACTCACATGCAGGCATACATCACAAGGAGCCTAAACTGAGAAATTTTCTATACTGGCAATACGTTGCCTAAGTTCCTGAAGAGGAAGAAAGAGGAATGCTGCAAARTCTGCAATTTGTGACTTTGACTCAGGTCAAAGTAGTGTAGTGTAGGTCAAAATGTTTGAGTAGAACACATGGAATACAATTTTAAACTTCAACAGTATCGTGAAAATTGTCTGRTATGTCTGGTGAGAAAATCAAATGGATCAGCAAATTTTCTGTGAATGAGTCTTAAGCATATATGGAGAGGTTATCCACTTATAGATTCAGGCAATAGCCGTAGCAGYGGAAACAAGGGAATCTGGATGGAGATAAAAAATTAATAATTGTCCGCAGGTTAAAAATTTTAAAAATACAGATTCATATAGCTGTGTCTCAGGTTAAGTGGAATGTAGCATTGGTAAGAACTGAAATAAAAGTCCTTGGAGTGTATTAGGTAAAGAACAGTCTATGCTTGCAAGTAATTTTAGCAGCTAAATGGCTCTGCTCATTCTCTGATACCTAATGATAATGTCTCCAATTTCACACATTGATTTTTAAACAATGCGTGTAAAAATAAAGTGAGTTCCATAGTCAAAATGGCACAGTCACAGGTTTGCTGCCTTCTCCACACCTCATTAGAAACTYCACACTGCTGGAGCAAGCTAATTCCCTTATGCTCAAGGTGACTGTTGGTAGGGGCCTAGAGTGTTCTGCCCAGGCCATACACATGAAGTACCAGCTGCTCATCAGCCACAACAGCTGTAAATGGCACAGCCCATACTCTAGAAAACATTTCATTGTCCCTGAAAACTCCTTGAAACCTCTAAGCCCTACATTTCCCTTGCCAATAACAGACTTCTCACCAAATAATCTCCTTAGTGGACTCCAGAAAAACACTTCTTCAGTTTTCGCAGTACTTAGTATTATATTAAGTGCAGTTTTAGTCAGAAAAAGGGTGAGAGGAAGAGCAGAGGAATTTAGTGTTGGTGAAAGGTACAGTATGGACAACCCTGGAACCACTAATTCATGCAAATTGTGGGACAAGGTCTGCAGGGTGGAGTTTCCTCTCTGTCTCTCTTGCTCCATGCAAACAGCACAGGGGGGGAAGGAGAATTCAGGTATTACARTTACTGAACCTCCTGCAGACTTTAGGTATACTGGTGTAGGGCCCTATATACAGGCAGAATATTTGCGAAAGACGGGCTCTTGAGGCATGTCTGCTGATCAGTTCCTCATGTCTCTTCTGTTACCAGTAAGGGATACAGTAAAGTATAAAGGGAAACATTCTTTATGGGGTCTAAGCCAGRTACAGCTACTAAAATCTGGCACTTGTATGTCTGTGTGGTAAATTGCTACAGAAGAAAAGGTCTGCAGTATGCAGCAAGTTATTTCATTGTGCTGAATTTGATATTACCTTGGAAAACAATATCTGTGCTTGCAGAGTGTAATCCAAATCAGTGCCAGGAGCATCTATGATTTAACAGGGCTTCTAAGAACCTAGGCTGGGGTGGTTTTTTTGTTGCTCTTTTTCCCCATATTAGGAAGTACCATATGAGGAGAAATCAAAGGGTGGTATGGTAGGAGAGGAAGAGGATCCCCAGATAGTGTACTGTGACTCTTCACTGCATCAGCACAAGGAAGAAAAGGGAGCAACAAAAACAGCTTCTCAGACATCCCCATCTACTTAGKCATGCTTGTCTTCTGGGCTCTTCAATGTCTGGCCAGCAACAGCCTAAATATTTTTCCAAACTTTCTGAGTTACTTGAAAAAGGAATGTCATTATCTCSGTTGAAAGGCCCCAGCAAGCCTGTCTTTCTACCCATGAGCTGCCTGGAGAACAGTCACCAAAGCATGGATGGCTGTGAAGTGTTTTTCCTGGTCTATGTAATGGTGTTGACAATGGCTACRGCTGGCAGGGCTCCCTGTGCATGTCAGGCAGCTGTGTGGACATCGACAGTTACAGCTGTTTCTGACTGCACGAGATGCTCTTTTCTGTTCTGAGCAAMAGGGAATTTGCCTTGTTGAGGTGGTGGTGTGGATGGGGATGGCATTGCCTCTATACATGTTTTGGTACTATTAACCATGCTCCTTTTTGGTTTACTTCACAGATATTATGTGGGAAAGAGATTCCCCGCTGGGTGAACCGCCTGGCCTACTTCAGCTCATGCATCCCCTTCCTCCAGAGCTGCCTGCCCAAGGAATGGCTGACTCCAGCAGCCCTGCAGAGCCACATCAGCCTTGGTCTCCACAAGGAGGAACAAGGGGACACAACGGATGAGGAGTCCCCCTCCACCTCTGCAGCCCCCTCAGCCTCAGGCACATCACGAACCTGTAGACATACCCGAGTCTAAACTGCCCAGTTTGCCCCCAAATAACATCCTGCTCTCTTGATTTGTTATTTCTCACACTCTTTTGCACACATTGGTGTGTTTCTTCAACAGACAACACAGGAGAGAGAAGATGCTTTCTACTTCTGTCCCTTTTCCAAGGACTGCCACTACCACTGCTTGGCAAAATGACTGTGAACCCCAACGCAGAACTGAGGACTATGGTGACTAAACTGGATTCTCCTCCCAGGGCCTCCATGATCCTTGGTCTATGGAGAAATGCTGACTCTCTCAGACATGAGAGCATGCATGTGGGCAGAGTGCACATACTGTGATGTTCCTTCTCTGGAACTGTTTTATCTTTTTATCTCTCCCTCTACCCATGTAAACCCAGCAGTCTATTTTGGCTGGGTTTTCCCTTCCTCAATGACAAATCACCTGCCCACACCCAGTGAAGGAACCAGAGCCAGAACTCAACCTTTTCGTCTCTTAGACCAGCAACAAACTCCACTCAGATTCATCCTGTTTGTAATTATCAGGTTTCTAAYTCATATGAAGGACAAATGAAAGGTGCTCCTGTTCTACAACCACTGGTTTTCAGTACTCAAATTTAAGAGCTCCAATGACTGTCCTGCTCTTGAAAATAATAACAAAGAACCTAGAAAATGAATGTGTTACTATGGCTTTTCTTTGGGGTCAAAAAGAGGATGGGGCTGTGGTAATTAGAGGCAACTACTAAGTAGATTCAGAGATGACTCTTGACCATATTGGTGCTTTTTGGCACAGACCCCTCTCAGTTCTCCTAATTCTAGGTAGTGTTCTTGGTTTCCTTTTCTCCCACAGATTCCCTGGGGAATCTCTCTCCTAGCTGACATTTGCTGGCTGTATTTGGGGAAATAGCCTTCCTGAGGACAAGGAAGAAGAGAGTGAATCTGTTTGGAAGGTCAGTATTTTCTTCAGATTTTCTTCCTGCACTCATGGACATAAAGCACGGCTTCAGAGTCATCCTTCCCTGACCTATTCTTGAGCCACCCAAGAAGGTAAAAAACAAATGGTGAACCCCAAGAATGTCAACCTGCTCCTTTCTCCTCCCTTTTTGGAGGTGGAGGGGGAAACTTGGGGCCACATTTGGAAAGCACAGATGACCCTTCCAATGCACGGACCACTGTGGTGTCTTCCATTGTGTGCACTATTTCACGGGAATGAAAAATGAGCACAGCTGGCTCACTGGCCTCTCCAAGCTGGCTCCTGATAAGAATCTGGTTCTTGGGTGTATTTATGCTAATTCTGATAGCTGATGAGAAAGCACAGGATGAGGAAAGGACAAGTTCGCTAACACTTCCACTCAATTACCTCACTAAGAATTCTTGTCAAAAGGTGTAGAAAAGAATCAAAGGGGAAATCCAGGTCCCCACTCTCCCTCGCAACTTCTCTTAGCTACACAAAGGAGGATGAAAAAGGAACAGGCAGTGTGTTGAGAGGGAGCTGCCATTTTAGAAATGCTGTTCTCAGCAGCTACTACCAAGACAGGACTTCCACCCTGCACCCAGAGAGAACTACAAGCCCTTAAGATGGTGGTTGTTTCCTTTTTTTGGTCGCAAATACATGCTAAGTCCAACCAGCTGTTTCTCTAGCTCAGGTGTCCAGGAGTGTGTGCTTTCAGGGCTGAAGGTCTCTGTTAYGATATACATCATATCTGTACAAACAGCATTTAATGGTTTATATGTACATGCCCTCAGTGAAACAGGAGGCTCTGGAGAGACCTATTTGATGGAAATGTAAGCCACRGGATGGCCTCACTCCACTGCCTCCTGAAGTGAGGTGTATTTAGGCAGCAAAACTTTTACAACGTGCCTCTCATTTTCACCCTCTGTACAAACTGCTGCAAGTTCTCYACTGAACTAAAGTCATGTTCCTTATTAACCTTGGCTGCCCACAGACAATGCTGCATTGTGAGCAGTTCTGCAGCTCCTGGTAACCAGTCCAATACCTATATTGATTACACTGGCTTGTCCAGGGATGTTGGTAAGATTTSCATCCTGATCTCCATGCCACTGCCCATTGCCCATGTTACACAATGTACTGTTTCACTCTGTATTCCCCTGCTGTCCTGGTCATTGCAGCCTAAACCATTGCAGCATTACAAACTCCATTTGTCTGAAGTTCCCAGGGTTTCTGCCAATAGCCAGCAGCACATTATGTGCMGTGAATTTTAAAGGTCCTTCTCAGGAGGAAAGTGAGAAGAGACCTTCCCAGAGCTTTTGTCTAGGCCAGGGAAACTGTAGTGAGAGACATCTTGTTCCCATTGTTGTGACAAAAGCCAGCCWGCCATCACCCTTGTGTTTCTGCTCTGCACTTGACCTCCAGATAATGCATCATTTATCCRTCTAGGAGAAAATTAGGACTCCAGAGGCACATTTCACACAGAAAGCCCTCTCAACAACACTCCACGAAGTAAAAAAATGCTTAGCTGGCTATATGATAAYCTGGACAAGAAAACCACATTCAGCCTGCTTGGGGACATAAATATGTGCTTGAAGTATTTGGAACAACATTTGGGGCAAGCTGTGAATGTCATAAAACCCCCAAATGTTTGTTTACCCGCTTTTATGTTTGTCTGTCTTTTATGACAGTAGGGGTCACATCAAGGAGGCATCAAATCTCTGTTGTAAATCAATCTCAGAATATTTTGCAGTCTTCAAAACTGTTTCTCCCCATCCCTCTCTGTTCAAGGTGACCGATCAACCAACAATGACAACAACGAAACACTGTGGAAATAAAATATATATTGATGATGGCTTTACCTCTGTAATTTAACAGCATTTTAGATTATTAAACATGAAGATGTTTAAAAATCCTAATTTACTGTTCATCTCTGGCATAGCATGCTTGTTTTAGGCATTTTTATTATCCTTCCCATTATTACAAAATCATTGTTGCTATTACATAATTACATCATATTTGTATTTAGTTACTCATTTACTTTCTCTTGCTGCTCTCTCTGCAAAACACCATATGGAAAATTTTAGATACCAACAGCAGCTATCAATGAAAACAAAAGAACACCTCATGAATCTTAACAAGAGCACTCCATGGCAATGGAACAACTCTTAACCCTTCTGCCAGGACTTTTGGTGTCCTTTTAAAAGCTGGGATGAGAGGGCACCAATTCTGCACRTGGCCATCAGCAGCTGTGGGTTATGTCTTTAGCACTGACCTAGTAGTATTCAAGTGGGACAATAAGACTGGAGGTGAGTTTAGCCTAACACTGGAATATTGGAGGTACAAAACAAACTGTTTCTAGAGAAAGCATGAGAGGAGGGAGTAAGTAATAACTTCTTTCCTTAGCTAGTCTTTATAGTAGCAATTTCCTTTGTTTTTTTACATTGTTCTTACTGATTTCTTTTTGGTCAGTTGCCTTCCTCTCCTCAAGTCTGTGGTTTGAGGCCTGTTTTTCTCAAACTCTTTACAAAGTTTTAGAAGGGACAGTTGTGCTTTCAGAGGCCCTGGGTGAGCTGGTTTCCCGGCACTGAGCCTGTGGTCAATGATGAGTTCATTCCAGCCTCAGCACAGCACGGGGATGGACACAGATGTGTTCTCTTGCTCTCACTGCTACCAGCTGAGAGTTTGCATCTCTGAAATTCAGACCCATGTTGCCTTTGTTTTACTGAGGTACTCAAGAAGTAGTAATTTCCTGCTATGTTATTTTTTCTATTCTTCAGTTCTGTTTATTTGTCTCTAGACTGGTAAGACTCTGAGAACAAGTTAGTGGACCCTGGATTGCAATATTAGCTTATCTTCTTATTAAATGTGTTTGATTTTCTTCTCATTTTAGTTTGTATATATGTGYGGGCTTATTGACATGTTCAGAAAATACAGTACCTCCACCACTTCCCTGGCTAATGAAGAAGACCAAAGAAAAGGATCATCAGTGTTCTATTTCCAAATGTTCTAAAATTACTCTTTGTGTTGAGGCAGCAGGTGCCTTGTTCCACTTTGTCCCTGCCCTGCTTGCCATCAGCAATSACTTGGAAAATGCAAAGGCTGTGTAGTGACTCAGAAGCATGCAAAAGAGGATCTGACATTCTCCTATCTCCACTCTGCCATTGCCCCAGACTACCAGAACAAGGCAGAACCTCTAGCTACAGTARTATATAAAAACATTGCAGCCTGTGCTTAGAGAATAGGAGTTCATCTGTAATGGGTCAGTGCTTCACCATTGTGAGATTGTGTTTGTAGCTGAGAGGTGTTAGAGTGGATGGCATGGCACATTTAATTCCTAGCAGGCATGAAAGACAGTTGTCTCTAAATGCCAAAGTAAGGYTGTCCACTAGCGATGTTGCAGCCAGCTTCGTTTTAGAAGTTTTTTTTCGGTTCATTTTGACTGGGACAAGGGATAACAACTCAGAAAAACAGATGATCACAGATGGCTTTCCTTAGGAAATCAGGCTGTAGAATGAAAAGATACGGCTCTCGGCTAGGCCTTCTCAACTGCGTTCATCAACGAGCAGTGAAGGAAAGTGTGTGGGGGTGTGGGGAGGGGGCTGTGTGTGGGGGGGTGTGTGACTGTGGGGGTGAGTGTTGCGGGGCTGTGCGTGAGGGAAGCGGGCACAGCCGCGGCCTGCAGCTCTGCCGCCCCCGCCCGCCCGCGCCGCAGCGGAACCGCCGTCCCGGGGCGCGTTGCCGCGGCGGAGGGGCCGCTGAGGCGGCGGAGCACCGTCCCGCCGGAAGCGCCGGGGCTGGGCCGGGCCGGAGGGGCGGTGCCGGGGCCGCGGGGCGGGAGCGGGGCATGGAGAGGCTGCGGAGGCTGTGGAGGGGCCGCACCGTCACCTTCGGGGTGCCCCTGCTGGTGAGCGGCGCGGCGGGGCTGGCGCTGGCGGGCGGAGCTGCGCGGGCAGGGCAGGGCAGGGCAGGGCGGAGGCGGGGGCGGTTCGCGGGTGGGCGCTCGGCTGTCCCCACCTCAGCACGACCTGAGCGGGGCCGCGGGTGCCGGACAGGGGGCGGCGGGAGCCGTGTGCCCTCCCGGAGCCGTGTGCCCTCCCGGAGCCGTGTGCCCTCCCGGAGCCGTGTGCCCGCCCGGA